ACACATATATATATATATATATATACACACACACATACATACATGTAGATAGATAGATGAATAGATGTTAGAAAGAGAAGAGATGTTTTTAAAGAATGAATTGAACAGATGCACTGAAGAGCCGACTGACAAAATCCTTAGTCGGGTACAGCCCTACACTAAAATGCTCTAAAAACTTTATAGTTTTGTTTTTGTCTCAGGTTATTAATTCCCTAATAAACTGTATGGGCACATTTTTGTAATATCAGATTATCAAGTGGTTCACATTTAACTGAAAACATATAAAACACAGACAATAAAGTACACAATGAAAGATGACACGATGAGAAAAACCATTTAGTGTGTTTGCCTGCCAACAGACAATAAATAGCCAGTCGATTTGTATGCAGTGTAATGTTGTGTTCTGCACTATCTGCACAATTGTTTTCAAGTTTTCCAGTTAATTACACTTGTTTTGAGGTTGAGGTGAATCTATTCCAGGAAAGGATCAGGTGACCAAACTCTATATTCTAGTACTACTAATAATAATAATAACAGTTTTAGTTGTCCTACCCTAAAAAGTGCAAAGCATTCTGCACCGCACCCATGAAGTCCTGAAGTCTAAAGAGGCAAAGTGGAAATACCTGGGCGAGTGCACTAACAGGGTGTGCGGCAAAAAAACAAAACAAACAAACAAAAAAACAACACAATTTTGTGTAGTGGACAAACAGCTTATAAATAGTGATACTTACATACAGTGGAGCTTGCTGTGGACTGAGTTTCATGTTGCTGGACACTAAAGACAGGAAAACATTGTATATTGTCATTGTGAAATAAAACAAGAGCATGTCAAAAGTTCTAACATATTTTTTGGTCACTTGGGGCAGTGCAACAAGCTGTAAACAACACAGGGTGGGCCACTGAAAAGTAAATAGTAAATGGCCTTATACTTGTATAGCGCTTTACTTGGCCATACACACTCCTAAATGCTCACACATTCACACACTGGTGCCACCACCGGGAGCAACTGGGTTCAGTGAGTTTGCTCAAGGACACTTTGACATGTTGACTGGACAAGCTGGGAATCGAACCGCTAATCCTTCGGTTAGGAGAAAACCCGCTCTACCCGCTGAGCCACAGCCGCCCCCAAAAGTAGTCAGTGTACTTGAGAAGGTGGCACGGTATTGGAGGCGGGCTATTTTTCTGCGCTACTTTTCCATGGCCCACCCTCTATTTGCATATCAACACCTATCAAAGATAACTTGGCTAACATGTTAGCAAACAGCAGCTGCCTACAGTCTTTAGCAGCACTACCTGTACAACATTAGTCTTCATCAATTTTCCAGCTTTTTGACAAACATAGGTCACTCTCATTGTGTGGATGCTTTTCAGCATCCACACTGCTTTCCTGTTCTTTATCACGAGGATGCAGTAAAAAGAATCCAATTATTATCCAATTATTTATTATTGTGTGGATGCTGAAAAGCATCTACACTAAGCTTTCCTGTTCTTTATTTGTGTAGATGCAGTAATACACAGTAATGCTGATTCAGCATCCATACTGTTGTCCTGTTCTTTTTTTATTATTGTACGGATGCTGATTCAGCATCCATACTATGTTATGCTGGTCTTTATTGTAGGGATGCTGATTCAGCATCCATAACAATAATAAATAAAGAACAGGATAACATAGTATGGATGAGGAATCAGCATTACTGTGCATTACTGCATCCACACAAATAAATAAAAAATGTCACATTCAAATGAATGAGAAATTTCAACTTCGGCATACTTTTAGCTATTTCAGGTATCAAAATGTTCAGCCCCTGAAGGACATTCATACATTTATTCACAATTTTTCTAAACTTCATGCTTTTAAAATATTTAGCTTTATTTTGAAAATCTTGCCCCATTCAAATACATGGCAAAATTCTACTTCAGCATAATTTTAGCTATCAAACTGTACAGCTCTTCAAGGACATTCATGCTTCTATTCTGAATTTTTCAAAACCTCATTCTTTTGAAATATTTAGCTTTATTTTGAAAATCTTGCCCCATTCAAATGAATGGGAAAATTCAACTTCATCATACATAACACACACACAGTGGCGCAGTGGCACACCAACACACACACACAGATTGGTCTACCTTCAAAAAAAGTCCCCAAACAATGCCAAATTTTCAAAATAAGTCTGATTGCTTTTGTTTAAATGAAGGCCACAAAGCATGCCAGAATTTCAAAAGCCCCTGAATGCAACTTAAGCTCATAAAGGCCCCCAAATGTGCTGGATTTTCACAATAAAAGCCCATGATTACACATTACCCCACATGAGGGCCCAATAACATTCCAGATTTTTTAAATATGAGCGCCAGATTGTAACTTCAGATCACCTGGAGGCTTCAAAATGTGACAGATCATCAAAATAACAGATAAAAAGTGACTGCTGAATGTACAAGGTTTTCCCTCAGGATAAAATTTCAGCCAAATTAATTAAAATTTTAATTTAATACACACACACACACACACATACATATATATATATATATATCCCCCACCCGCCCCACTGAGATGCATGCTCTCAGGTCCATTAGCCATTGGGCATAGTTGTTATGTGATGCTTCCTTCTCCCATATGCTCTTCCAGAATTGTTCAACCTCCTGAGATCTCTGTGCAGAAGAGGGCAGTCCTAGGGGCAGCTAGGATACTGCGCAGGACCCTCAAGCTCCCAGGCCTTTGGTAGAGGACCTGAGCTTGAAGGGTGGAATAAAAAAAAGCCACCCCAAAGTGGGGGGTGAGTGGGGAAAAATATATATACAGTGCCTTGCGAAAGTATTCGGCCCCCTTGAACTTTGCGACCTTTTGCCACATTTCAGGCTTCAAACATAAAGATATAAAACTGTAATTTTTTGTGAAGAATCAACAACAAGTGGGACACAATCATGAAGTGGAACGAAATTTATTGGATATGTCAAACTTTTTTAACAAATAAAAAACTGAAAAATTGGGCGTGCAAAATTATTCAGCCCCCTTAAGTTAATACTTTGTAGCGCCACCTTTTGCTGCGATTACAGCTGTGAGTCACGTGGGGTATATCTCTATCAGTTTTGCACATCGAGAGACGGAAATTTTTGCCCATTCCTCCTTGCAAAACAGCTCGAGCTCAGTGAGGTTGGATGGAGAGCATTTGTGAACAGCAGTTTTCAGTTCTTTCCACAGATTCTCGATTGGATTCAGGTCTGGACTTTGACTTGGCCATTCTAACACCTGGATATGTTTATTTGTGAACCATTCCATTGTAGATTTTGCTTTATGTTTTGAATCATTGTCTTGTTGGAAGACAAATCTCCGTCCCAGTCTCAGGTCTTTTGCAGACTCCATCAGGTTTCCATCCAGAATGGTCCTGTATTTGGCTCCATCCATCTTCCCATCAATTTTAACCATCTTCCCTGTCCCTGCTGAAGAAAAGCAGGCCCAAACCATGATGCTGCCACCACCATGTTTGACAGTGGGGATGGTGTGTTCAGGGTGATGAGCTGTGTTGCTTTTACGCCAAACATAACGTTTTGCATTGTTGCCAAAAAGTTCGATTTTGGTTTCATCTGACCAGAGCACCTTCTTCCACATGTTTGGTGTGTCTCCCAGGTGGCTTGTGGCAAACTTTAAACGACACTTTTTATGGATATCTTTAAGAAATGGCTTTCTTCTTGCCACTCTTCCATAAAGGCCAGATTTGTGCAGTATACGACTGATTGTTGTCCTATGGACAGAGTCTCCCACCTCAGCTGTAGATCTCTGCAGTTCATCCAGAGTGATCATGGGCCTCTTGGCTGCATCTCTGATCAGTCTTCTCCTTGTATGAGCTGAAAGTTTAGAGGGACGGCCAGGTCTTGGTAGATTTGCAGTGGTCTGATACTCCTTCCATTTCAATATTATCACTTGCACAGTGCTCCTTGGGATGTTTAAAGCTTGGGAAATCTTTTTGTATCCAAATCCGGCTTTAAACTTCTCCACAACAGTATCTCGGACCTGCCTGGTGTGTTCCTTGTTCTTCATGATGCTCTCTGCGCTTTAAACAGACCTCTGAGACTATCACAGTGCAGGTGCATTTATACGGAGACTTGATTACACACAGGTGGATTCTATTTATCATCATTAGTCATTTAGGTCAACATTGGATCATTCAGAGATCCTCACTGAACTTCTGGAGAGAGTTTGCTGCACTGAAAGTAAAGGGGCTGAATAATTTTGCACGCCCAATTATTCAGTTTTTTATTTGTTAAAAAAGTTTGAAATATCCAATAAATTTCGTTCCACTTCATGATTGTGTCCCACTTGTTGTTGATTCTTCACAAAAAATTACAGTTTTATATCTTTATGTTTGAAGCCTGAAATGTGGCAAAAGGTCGCAAAGTTCAAGGGGGCCGAATACTTTCGCAAGGCACTGTAAAAATTACTGCAGGTAGTGCAATGTAGGCCTAACTTCACAAAGGTTTATTCAGCTACTGTACAATGCTGACAAAATACTAAAGTACAGCTAAAGCTTATATATGTAAGGAATTAAAATTCCAGCCAATTTAAGCCAAGTTAGTTATGCTGAAGGTGGAGGTTGGTCCCACTCGGCCCTGGGTAGAAGCAGGACCAGCTAAGCCCGAGTCAACACAATTACCCCTTGCAGATAGGAACAGTTGGAAATGGGACAGCATGCCCGCACGATTCAGCATGATTAAAGTGGGTTAACCCATGCTGACGGAAAAACAGCATTAGGGACAGGTACTGACCCTTGAGGTCAAAATTTTTAAATGTCAGTGTTGCTTTGCACTGAAATGAGACAATCTAGTATGTCGCAAGATTAAAAACGTCAGTAAAATACTCTGGACAACACAACACTAGGCAACTAACAAGAGGCAATTTTTTTCATTAAGTCGATTATCGTCTCTTGCAGCATCAGAACACTGTTGTGGACAAGGTGACAGTTAAGCTTGATCCTGGCAGTAGACAGTGGAAGGTTAAGCAAAGAACAAACACAAAGAATTGGAGACAAGAACACACTCTCATCATTCAACCAAAACTACCAATTCTTTATCTGTCCTTGTTGTATGGATGCTGACTCAGCATCCATATTATGTTATTCTGGTATTTATTGTATGGATGCTGATTCAGCATCCATACAATGTTATCCTATTATTTATTATTATTATTATTGTATGGAAGCTGATCCACACTCTTGTTATCTTCTTCTTTATTATTCTGGGTTCTGCTGCTGTTCTTTGGCACCTAACTCCTTCAGCATACTTTCACCTAGAAGGGCCATTGAGGTATCAAACTGTTTATCTCTTTAAGGACATGACTGCTTGTATACAACTTTTTTTATAACTTTCATACTTTTCAGCTTTTTTCACAAAAAATTTCCCATTGGAAATGAATAGGGCAAAGTTGGAAGCCTAACATCTCCGGCATACCTTGGGCTAGAAATGCCATTTCAACTCTGTTCAACTCGTGAGACATTCAGCTACCAATGGTGCAAAAATCATCTTGATATCTTTTATGGTTTCTTTATAATCAACATTTATATTTTGTCTATTTGTCCATAGACAATGAATGGGCCAATACAATACAATGCCATTGGTAGCCTTTGCATCACATGACTTCCCGGTCTAGCAGAACAACATCCTGACCTTTCAATGCCCTAAGCACATAGACAGTTTTTTAGAGACAGCACCTCTTACTCCAGTGTTGCTATGCAACTTGGGCATAGTTCCGGTTTGTGGTTTTCTGTCTCTTTCTTACAGCCTTAC